AAGTCGTACCAACATAAAGAAAGCAAGAACTAATTAAACTTCTCAATTTTTTTTTCTTAAACGTGGAGATGAGAGTGTTTTTCCTAATCTTCGCTATTCCATTCCGGTGATGCTAACAATTGCAGTTTCCATTTCCAGCTGCGATAGATCTTTCAGAAACATCTATGGTACAAGGCAGACTCTCTGATCTTGCTCTACTCCGTGTAGAAAGACAAGAAACTGAGAAAGCTGACTTTGAGCACATCATAGACCAGATCGCATCAGTAAAAGTAAGAAAATGGCCATTGTAGTTTTAACTAATTTCAGTGTCATGATTATTTAATAAAAGATGTGTTAACCTGCTAATTTAATTGGTTACCGGAAATTTGATCGAAAGAAATTTTGTAGACGGTAAATTGATCGACGGTAATTTGATCGAACGGAAATTTGATCGAATCTTTTTTTCAGTTCACACGTTAAAATTTTCGTCAAATTTCTTTTTGAACGCACTATATTGTATGGTAAAACAAAATAATGAGTTCAAAAAGTAATTTGAAGCAAAAATGTTAACGCAAAATCTGAAAAAAAGATACGACCAAATTTCCGTTCGATCAAATTACCGTCGATCAATTCACCGTCGACGAAATTTCTTTCGATCAAATTTCCGGATACGAATTTAATCTGATATGAAAATAAAATTAAAATAATTTATTGCTGATATGAACTTACGAAATTAAATTTAGAAGTTTTAATTTTTTTTAAAACCTTATGAATGTCTATTGTGAGTTTATGTGTTTAATGACCGTGTGCTGTGCTGGATCCAGATACTTATTTGCATTCTAATGATTTAAGCTTCCTTGACAGTAAAAAAAAAAAAGTATCTCTGGAGTTCTGATAAATATAATTATTAATTCAATGTTATTCACAACTCTCTCTTTCTCGCTCTCACTCTCAGAGTTTACACTTTAATATTGTACACCCTGGATATTTTTCTATCCTTTATATTTTACATGCAAATGCGTTGAACAGGTTTCCTAATGATGTACTACAAAGTCATTAAAATTAACCCAAAAATTAAGCAATCGCTAATGCAAATTAAAAACATTTTCTGATACCACCAACCCCCCCCCTTTTTTTTTTTTGCCATGAGCGCTAAATACCCTCGCCACGACCCAGTTCGGCTAGATGAATTCAACATATACCGGTAGTTTAAATTAAACATGTGTCTGTAATATGACATATCAAAAGTGCAAACTCGTAGGAAAAAATTGGGGGTAGATCCGGGTGTCTCTTTTTTTTCCGGGCGGTAATTCCTGACTATTTCATCCGCCACAAATATGTATGCTTTCTGTATGCATTGTTTGTTTTCCTGCATTAGGGGTGGAAACTTCTCGGACAGCCCCGGCCGTCACAAGATATTCCACTGACAGTACGTCAATAAATATTTCGCTCTTTTCCGTCATTATTAATAATAATAAAAATTCTTGAAAATCACTTAACTTAATGATGAGTTAATAAACTATCCAAACAGGGATCAGAAAATAATTTGGCTGTATCAACTTAACGTGAATCAAAGGTTAAGAAACAGATGTGTCCACAAGCAATTCGATATTTGAACTGAAACAGCCAGGTGACGAGACCTTCCAGGAGTGTGCAGAGCGAAGTGAAACAGTTGATGGCTACCGGTACTTGGGAAAGTCTGTCGTACTGCTTTCGTCACAACCAAGACTGGCTGAGGTCCTCTCCAAATGTCTTTCTCCAAGATTTCCTTGTTTCGTCTTAGTCGTACCCTTCGTTGCATTTAGCGTATGTTGGGTTTGCAGCAGGTACGTGCGATGGATGCACCCGCCCCGGGCACCATCTCTCATTCTTTTTAGAGAATTGGGCGCTTAAATTCACGTTTAGCCCCAGGGCGCATCTCTTGCCTGTCACGGTCCTGCTGTGACAATGGATGCGTCTCGCCACGGTCCTGCTGTGACAATATATGCGTCTCGCCACGGTCCTGCTGTGACAATGTATGCATCTCGCCACGGTCCTGCTGTGACAATGTATGCGCTCCCCACGGTCCTGCTGTGACAATATATGCGTCTCGCCACGGTCCTGCTGTGACAATGTATGCGTCTCGCCACGGTCCTGCTGTGACAATGTATGTGTCTTGCTAGGTCATCTCCCTACAGACACAGATAGTGGCTGTTCTAATTATTTTTTTTTTCAAGTGTTCCCCCAGAAGTACTGCACTACCGGGGTAGCCACTCCCAATTCTGCCCTTGCGGCTCGCTATCTGTAGCAGAGATCGTCCCGACCCCGGCCACACTCGAAGCGAGATAGCACGAACCACCCACAGAACAGTTAGGAAACCTGACGGTAAAAGATACTACACTTGGATCTTAGCCAAAAGGTTTTTTGAACGGGTTTGGATTTTTTTTCCCCATGAATGCAGTGTCCAGTCCTCATCCTTTGCGAACGTCACAGAGGGATAGAATTTAACTTCAGATGCTGAAATCGAACAGGTCTTTAGATATTATATTTGGCCGATAATATTGACAACTTAGAGGCGGCCGCCAGTAGGATTATTTTTAAAAACTACAGTAAATACATCAATAAGAGAAATGTATCAAACGGTGTGAAAATGTGCCAAGTGTGTCGTTAGCCTTCTGCCAAGCTCCAATTCCCTCCCTGCAAAGTGGCAATACCAAAAAAAGAAAAATGGGGTTTTCACAGCCGACGATGAATGGCTAGGGGAGATAAGAATTTATGCTTTGGAGATTATTCTCCGTGAAAATCAATGGGTTTGATATTTTGGTTCCACCCACCCCCCCTCCCTCCCACCCCACAATGAAGAGGTGCTTTTTATGGGGTGGTGGCGCCGTGTGATGAAAAGATAAAACATTTGACATGTCCCAGTCACTAATTCTGTTGTGTCCTGCCAAGTCACCATTAAGTAGACATTTGACATGTCCCAGTCACTAATTCTGTTGTGTCCTGCCAAGTCACCATTAAGTAGACATTTGACATGTCCCAGTCACTAATTCTGTTGTGTCCTGCCAAGTCACCATTAAGTAGACATTTGACATGTCCCAGTCACTAATTCTGTTGTGTCCTGCCAAGTCACCATTAAGTAGACATTTGACATGTCCCAGTCACTAATTCTGTTGTGTCCTGCCAAGTCACCATTAAGTAGACATTTGACATGTCCCAGTCACTAATTCTGTTGTGTCCTGCCAAGTCACCATTAAGTAGAGGAGAAGAATTTTTAAAAATATTTTTAAACTAAGTTCATGGGTGACACACAATAAATCAATACATTGAACTGATTATGACTGATTCGTTTTTTATTGAAGACATTGCAACACACATCTCTTTTTGTTTTTATAAATAATCTCAACTTTTCTGACAGAATATTTTCTTTCCATGGCTAAAATTCAAAATGTACATGTTGAATTAAAGTTCTGAACAAAGAACAAAGGCGAAAAAGTATGTCTTAAAAATGAGTGTTTGTGCCCACACCTATATTTTAATGCGTATTCCTTTATAACTTTGTTAGTCCCATGATTTATAACCACTAGTGGTTGCATGTTATGAAGTTCTGCTCTTTGATGACAAATAAAAAATAAAAGTTACACAATAAAAACAAGAATCGTGAGATCAAAGCATGATAGAAATTAACTGAGAGCTGAGAGATCATGTAAGGCATAGAATAGTTAAAAGAATATTTTTTTTTTTAAGTGTATAATTTTATGATTCTCTGAACAAGAGAAGAAAATAAAAAATCATCCCTTGTAAGGATCGTCCATTGTTACAGATGAAAGCAGATACAGAAAACTTTGCCCATTTGACAATCTTAGATTACCGGTATGTTAAAGGTGCAGTCCTTTTGATGCACCGGCAAAGTATAGTGAAGAAAATGTATCATTCAAGCTTACAACACCATTAAGGCACTAAGTTATTTCCTGTCAGTGATAAGGTTTATAATACTCGTATGACTTGTCCAAGACACAATATATCTAGAGTAATACTTCAGTGGCTTCCGACCTTTTTATATCTCTAGCTCTTTGATGCCATAAATAATTGCCCTTTATTTCACACTTTAATTGAAACCCTGCAACTGCAAATATTTACCTTAATTTTCTCAGTCATTTTTGTGTGTGTGTTAATATGGAAATAATTAATTGTCTTTATATATTTCATTGGATATTTTAAGTCAAAGCCAGTAACTAATAGCTAATATCGGTCAATGAAAAAAGAAACAAATAAAAACATTAAAATCCAGATACTGGTAGAGCCCCAAAATAATCCAGGCTGGAAACTACAGATAAAATCAATCTTATTGGTTGTAATTGTAAGTACGGGCACCAGAGGCGTAGCAAGGTNAGGTTGGATGGTGAGGCATGTAGGTTGGATTGAAAGGCATGTAGGTTGGATGGTGGGGCAGATGTCCCTGTGCGCCAGATTAGTTATGGGCGCCAAAATGGGCTTTGATATTATTTCATTAATGAAAATAATGGGTTTGAGAGTTGAAAAAAGAAAGAAAGGTTCTTTAAAATGAATCTTGTCGTCCCCGGGCGCCAAACTCTCTAGCTACGTCTCTGACTGGCATACCATGTGAAACTAAGCTACATACTTCACAAACAAGATCTCTCAAATCAAATAATTGAAATATGAAAATTTGTACATTTGCTATGCAGCCAATGAAAATAGATCATTTTTGTATAAAATATGATTTGGGAGATCAAGATGAATATGTTTCTTGCCTTTTTACAACTGAAATTAAACAATGCTTCTGAGAATTTTTTTTTTATATATATCTACAGACTCAAAAAAAAAAATTGTTCTAGATTTTACATCAAAAATATTTATATAATTAATTCTAAAGAATGGACAAAGTGAATGTTAAAACACATCCATGATTTGTTAGCACCATAATACAGGTATAAAAATTTTAGAAAGGGAAATAAAAGTGGAAATTACAGTTTCCTATTTTGTAAACAAAGACTGTACATGCATTTCTGCTATAGGTAGGATCTTGATAGAACCACAATTAAATTTAACATTTTCTGATCTTAAAAGAAGTTAAAATAGGCCAAAGAGATAAAAAAAAAAAAAAACTTTTTGATTTTTGTTTTTTTAAGAAGCCCTACTTTTGGCTTCATTAAGAAAACTCTGTACCCTTTAAAATTAAAATAATAATCAGCAAATTATTTTTTAAAAAGCAGTTGAATTTATGTCTCAAATTTGCTCATGTCCAGTCTTTGGTCACCTAACAAATAACAAAACATTAACTTTCCAATTCAATCATATCAAAACAGATTTTTAAACAATAACAAAACCTCTGTCATTGATTAGGGCAAAAAATAAGCTAAAATACAGAATTGGCCAATAAAGAATGCCCTTAAGAAACATTATTCATTTATTTTGATAGAAAAAATATATAAATAAATTTGGTGACTGTTTGAAGGTAATAATTGAAGATTAATCAGTAATTTAAGTATAATCTTTATTATTATGCCTTTTTGTTATATGAACCTTCCTGATTCAAAATATTTTGTTATTTATTTGTTCCTACTTCAAATGAATAATAAAGTGCATCATTTAAAAAAATATATATCACTTTCAAACAACACTTGCAATCACACCTCATGTGTTGAAGCCATTTAGAATGTTGTATACAAGTGTAAACATTCTCAGAAAGTTTTATTGCCTTATATATGTACAGCTATTGCTATTATGCATAGTGAGATATTTATCTCATTGAACAGAGAAAATAATGTTGAGTATTGAAAATGTCAAAGTCTTACACTGTACATGTAGGTGGTTTTATACACACAATATAATATGAGTTACAAGCTTTATAAAAATTAATTTATTAATCATAAGAACTAAATAGCAGTGCTAAAAAAAATTGCCAGTCAGACATCACTTGTCTTAATAAATATTTTAAGGAACCAATAATGAACTCCATAATGGTTACAACTTTTCAATATTTAAAAAGTACTATTTTCTTTAGCCTTAGCCATGAGTATCTTTGAATCAATAATAATGCACGCTGTGCATTGACCAGATAAGTAAAAAAAAATATTGCATATTTAAACATTCTGTCACAACTTTTTTTACTTGTTAAAGAAAAAAAAATAAAACCTAATACATGATTTTATCAAATGCATCTTATGTGGCTTGAAAAACAGAACCAATATATGGATGGATATGGCGGCCATGTAAGCCAAAATACTCAACATAACCAAGTCTACAAAACTACTGCATCTTCCATGTCAGGATCAGATGCCAGTCTCTCATACTGCATGATGACATTCGGGTCACGTCTTGGCTTCCGATGCCTCTTACATGCCACAACTAATATAAACCCTGCTCCAAATCCAATGATGAACAAAAATATTGCAGCTAGTCCAGTTATGATGGCTTTCTCATTCTTTTCTTGCATTGGATTGTCAATGGCATTAGTTCTCAATAGCGGCTCATTGTCAGAGGTGCCATTTTTAACATTTAATGGAGAAGTAAACCATGTGGGAAGATAGCATCTGTTCTGATCACAGCAGCAAAGCTCTTCGGTTGTATTATAACCTATGGAAGTCTAAATAAAAAAATTAATTCATTAAAAACTCAACAAAATAATTATTATTGACTTAATTGCACACAGATCAAAAATAAATTTGAAAGCAAGATCACCTCAACACAATTATTACAGATTAGATTGGGGGGGGGGGGGGGGGGGGGGNAGGGGTCATCCATAAAAGACGTCCACACAAAAGGGGGGAGGGGGGGTTCAGCAAAAAGTGGACTAAAGTGGACAAAGGGGGGGAGGGGGTTTAGGACAAAGTGGATGTCCACATTGTAGTGTTTTTTTGAGTGCAGCAGTTTTGCATAAATTTACTGCAAATTTACTGCCCGATCAATTACAGTAGCATGCCTTTTGATCTCTATTGTCCATCGGTGGCTGGGAGAATTTCCAAGAGAAAATGTTTCTGCGGTAAATATTTCCCATCACAGGCGGCAATGAAAATACATAAGGTCGTCCATTGCAATATTCCTGCTAGTGAACATAATATGGCAGACGAATCAGACGAAGAGACTGCCACTCAAATTGAATTAGCAATTGAAGACTCAAGAACAGATGTTGTCATTATACGAAACATGTTTGAATGGCTGCAGTCCGAATTTTCCGTTGATTGAAGTGTGGTGGATTATTTGTTTATTACATTTTTAATACAGTGATTCAATAAAATGTTTTTGAACAGTTATTATTGCATTTAGAATTTTTGCCTGCAAATAATTGGAATTTCTAAAAAAAATCTTTGTAAATACATACTCTTTATATTGTTGTACATTTTGCCAAAATATTCATTAATTTAAGTTTGGTAAATTTTATGTTTTGGACGTCCACAACGGGGGGGGGTCAAGTCAAAAGTGGACAAAAGTGGACAAAGGGGGAGGGGGGGTAAAAAATAGCAAATAATTGGTGGACGTCTTTTATGGATGGCCCCTATGCCAAAATTATAAAAGTAAACAGGTCTGGCGTAGGGCCATATTGACAAATGAAAAGCTATTGGAGGGCTGCATATATATTTTGTCATATTAGCATTACATTACGAAGGTCAAAGACTGTTTACCAAAATAGAAAAATTAAAAGAAATTTTATAAAATATGCTAAAACAATCATAACTGAACATGAAATTCTGTAAAATTCAATAAGATAACTTAAAAAGAAATATTTTTTTGCATTTCTAAATGCCATTCGGGGCCCCATAACATCACTTGCCGGGCCGCATGACACCTGCGGCCGTAGTTTGCCCACCGCTTGATAAGATAATTCATTACATAGTCTAAAGCCAAAATTTCAGTTTCATGAAATCAGTTTGAATTCACTTTTTAAAAAATTATTTGTTAATGTCATGAGGAAAAAATCAATGTGAACAAAATAAATATTTCACAAAGTAATGTTACAAATATCGTCAATTAGTTTTAATTATCCCCAGATTTTTATTAAATTTACCTAGTACAACAAATTAGAAGTATATTTTCCACTTACATTGGTACAAGACTTATAAGCGCCTGAGGTCATCAGTGGTTGAAAACATTCTCTTTTGTTATCACAAAAGTATCTTTCAATTTTTCCATCAGACATATAAACTGTTCTTTTAGCACAAACTACATCTGGCTGTTTACATGAGTTCAATCCTCCTGTAGATATTTAAGTTTAAGTAAATACACAAAATTTTAAAGGCATTATCTTAAAACCAATCTTAAACATCCACAATTCTAAAATTGCGAAATAAATATAAAAAGTTTAAATCAATTTTTAACAATAAATTTAACACTATTATTTCAGCCTTACCATCAGGAACATCAGTTTTATTCTTAACACCTTCGAAACAAACTCGATTTTCTGCTGGCAGGTGAATTTTTTCAAGGTCATTGCAGTTTTCTCCATAGCAACACAGTAACTGTCCATTATGGTGTCCCACTGTCTTCTACAATAATATTGAAATTCATAATAATAAATAATGCAACAATTCCTCCAATTTATATGTTTAGATGTAATTTAGGTATACCACATGTGTCAAACTCAAGGCCCGCGGGCCACATCGCCGGCCATACAATTATTTCAGGCCCAAGAGGTCTTGACCGGCGTACAATTATATCCAAGTCAATGCTATGGTGTTTCCATATGCACACTTTGCTGAAAAACTTAGCTTAATTCGCGCTGAGTTCACACTGCGCTTTAGTGACTTTGAAGCACAGAAATGTAATTTCGAGCTGTTTCGTAACCCATTTGTCATAGACGTGAAAACTGCACCTGTAAATTTTCAAGATGGAGCTAATAGAGCTGCAGTGTAATCGGACACTAAAGGCAAATTACGACACAGTTGGGCCTGCACAGTTCACTTGTTTCATTCCTGAAGAGATGCCCCAGCTTCATCTACATCTGGCTCGAACTTTGAGCATGTTGGGTAGCACATTATGTGTGAGCAGTTGTTTTCTGTGATGAAGATTAACAAAACATCATCTAGGAGTCGTCTCACTGATGAACACTTGCAGTCCATCATGAGTTTCTCAATGACACAAAACTTTACTCCCAACATAAACGAACTTACTTGTTTTTTTAGCCAAGAAAATGTGTATGCCAATGATTTTTAATTATTAAAACTTCTTTTTATTTTCATTTGTATAAATGTTTTTAAAAAATATTAATTTTCCGCTTATTGAATGTTTATCCTGTTTGGCCCGCAACCTTACATGAGTTTTGGCCCACCGAGCGATTGAGTTTGACACCGCTGAGGTAAATAATAATATTTGTAATGGTAAAGATAGGCCCACTGGTGTTATTTTAATTTGATGATTTTTTCTTCATTTTTACACTTTTCAGTTTTTAAAAGTATTTTCATGAATCTTGCCATTTTTCTAAAATTCTAAAAAGTTTCAGATTAATTTAAAATAAATAAAGCTTTTAAAAATAGAACTGACCCCTAATTAATTCAGGCAGGTTAAAAAAAATTTGAAAAAATGTTTATCCAAAATAAAACATAATTTCTGCTAAGTAAAATAATAGTTAGGAGTTTGCTTCCTTGTGCTGATTTTTTTGTAACTGAAGTTTAAATGCAATATAACTTTAAAACTTACATTTTTTAAGATCTGATCTAGTGGTTGCTTTTCACAGATATTGAGAGAATCCAAATCACATCCAAACTCCACATGTACCGACTCTTTTTTGACATCATTAGCCAAAAGCAGTACTTCAACAAATCGAAAAGCATAGCAGAAGCTGTGCTTCTTTTCTTCTTGTTCAACATCAGACATAGTTTGCTTGTCGACATTGGAAGACAGAGTCTGCTGTTCAGTTAGCAATAAAGAACTCAAAAGATGCAGCTCTCCTGTAGTACATGATTGGTTCTGCAAAGCATTTAAGCTATTGATATCTTTTCCAAAGTAACAAAAATAGGCTGCAGTTACTGGTTTTCTGTTGGAGTTTAAAATACATAAAGTTACAAAAATTATTAGTGAATAGGCTAATATATGTATTATATATTGTTTTAAAAAAGGATATTATCTTTAAAATTTGATTTATATTATACAACAAATTTTGCTAAATCAAATAGGATACAATTGATGAGAGATGCTTCCATTCATTTTTATTTTTTTTAGTGAAATAATTCTTAAACCTAAGCATGTCAAATCTGAAATGCAAATAAACATAATTTTTAACTCTCCATCCATAATGACAGGGCAATAGGGTCAATAGTGCCAGACAGAGGCATCACCAGGCATTAGGGTTGGTGTCACCCTACAAACAGAGTAAATGTTAACCAGATCATACAGTGATGCACAAACCAAGTCAGTGTCTAAATTTTATTGATAAAGTTTTATATTTATGCTGCCCTACAGCCTATGGAAGAATTTGCCCAAGGACACTAGTACTAGCTGATGGTAAATAAACCACTGCAAATGTAAGAAAAAGTAATAATTTTTCCTACCTATAACTATAACATGTTGTGGGATTAAGGCCTTGTGCCATGGGCACAGCCAAAATTGGAGAACATAGTTATCTGAGCTTTTTAATTTTTTGAATAAGTAAGCCCTTGTTGGAATCCATTTCATTAAGGATTGGGCAGAAAGATTGAAAAAAAAAATTTAAGCTTACATATACAATTATAATTATAAACAAAACAGAGAAATGAAATGGCCATTCATATTTTGCAATTAATTTAAAACAACAATACATAAGTTATAAGAATGGAATTGAAATACAGAATACAGGTTGTTTTTTTCTCTGAAGTAACACCAATAAATCGGACATAACTTAAGCTATGCCACTGATCTTATTGTTATGGAACAACAAACAAGTACAAGAGGCCCTGTGAGTCTGGTGGCACTGTTTTTGTGCCCCCCTCCCCTTTCCCCAGTGATGCCTCTACCACTGGTGCCAGTGCCAGTAGTAGTAGGCCTATTTATTTAAATTAAATAAAGCCTAAGGCCTTAATTAAGAGCTAGACTTGGCTTAATCACATAGATGATAGATCTTAACCTAACGCTTAGTCTTACTCTTGAGTTTCAGTCACTGAGTCAGTCAACCTCAAACTTTACAACTGGAACTAGACTTTCTAAAGCTACTTTTTCTAGTCTGAGACTAGAAAGTAGTCTGCCTAGCTAGTCTGGTCTAAGACGAAAAGAAAGTGTCTATTGGTAATTTACGATCATATTATCCCAGTCAGTCACTGGTAAAAATAAAGTTACTGGTGAAATTTAACGTAGTTCAAACTCGAAGTCAGATCAGCATAAAATAAGATGTACCGGTATTAAAATAAAATTTAATTTACGGTTAACAAATTGGGGCATCATTATAAAAACAACCTAATAAGTAACTTGAGATTAATTTTTTAGGAAAAGAAGTTTTTTTTAAAATTAATTAATAATCAATATCCATTATGCCTATTTCCTGTTACCGAATAACTGTCTGATTACGACCACAAGCTGTAAATGGGTGAAAGGAATAAAGGGTATTAAAAATCGTACAGCTGTTTTGTGCATTTTATAAATGCAAAGGCCCCCCTCAAATCCTATGAAATATGTTGAAATCTAATATTGCTGCATGTTAACAGTTGAGAGTGCACTCTCTACTTTTCTCAGTTTCTGTACTATCCACGGTCACCTGTAAGAAATAAATTATGTCACACAATAAGGTCATACAAGCAAATAAACACGAGGAGGGGTCATCTAGCACGGCATAAAAGTCAAATTATTTAACTCTCCCCCCCTCCCCCCCCCCGTACTTTTAAATAACAAAAAAAATTTTAATTAAACAAAATCCATTATATATTATGATGTTACAGTAAACAAAATGTGACACAGGTTTTCACCACTGGTGATTCTGCCAGTCCAGTGGTCAGCATATTTGCCACATCGCCCTGGGTGCTCGTTGCCCTCGGGCAGGGCCATGAGAATGTGGCAAAGAGCAACAGACACCAAAATCATTTTGAGAAAGAAACTTAACAGTGAATTTAACTATAAAAACCCTTTTACTTCACAAAGGCAAGGGGTGCATAAATTGCCCTTTTACTGGTCCCCCCAGGGGGGTGCACATTTTTATATATCGGTTGCTGGGACTTGGTCACAGGGATGTTGGAAAACATTACAAAATGTTCATAATTTTATTTTCACTTATAATCCAATGTGACAACTTTCAGTCATGGTGCAAACAGTTACCCCATTGAGTAACTACTGTTTGCAGTTACAGATGGGGCTCAGTGACCCACATACACATTATATTTATTTTTATCCCAACCTTTATTTTATTTTGTATTCGCTATTTTGAAATGTACATAGGCGCCGAAACGAAAATTTTACAACCACTGACATAGCCCAACAAAATATACATCATGCGCGCATTGAACATTCGGTGGACTAAACATTACTGTAATTTCTCTACTACTGAATATAGCTAGCGAGTTCATTTGTGAAAATAAATCTTGACAACATCACAACGATAATTCCTACTAAACATTGGATGGTACCTTACAGCATTGGAGATATAAATATGCTCAGAGTTTGGGGATGAATATTGTAGAATTTATTAATAACGCTGTTATTAGCGTACATTTTCTGCCGAGGAACACCCCCCACACCACCAAACTGTCATTACAGAAATGTGGGGGTGTTGATTTTAGGCCTATAGATTTAATTATTTAGACCTGCGCCATACACAAAATCTCCTAAATCAAATCCATTCCTTTTGCCCCTGATTGACTGCTAATGAAAATTCAGACTTGCAGGTTGAGCAGTGCGAGTATGATGGACCTTTCGATGAAGAACTCAGTAAATTTTGTCTGATATTCAAGCAAGAATATCTGCTGATAAACTTTCTTTTTTTGAATCTGATTTTTATTGGTAGAAGTAGAAGTTTCTACTTCAGCTTCAGCTTCATGTGCCTTTCTTTTTGTCAAGGCCATACGATATGGCATATTGTGATATACTACCTAAGTAAAATAAACTATGGTACCGAAAACAAAATGAATCGCGGATTCCATAAATGGTACCCGTAACATTAAAATCATGCAATGCACACATCTGTCAATGCAGCCGAATTCAAACGCCAGAGCTGTTTGGACAATGGGACATTCATATACAATAATTATATAACATACTCGGTACGCAAAATAAAAAAAATTAAAGAAAATATTCATACCCCTCCCCCAGCCGCATCTTGTCAACATAAGGGTCAAAGGGCTATTACGTATGCGCTGAGGATGCGTATGACAGCTTTTATGGGAGGGGGCTCACCAGAATGCACCTACATTTATGCATAAATTCTACAATAATTATCCTGAGAGTCTCATATTGAGCCAATTGTCACCTGAAAATCTGAGAAATTCATGAATTCTAATTAGGCCTAATATTATTGTTAAGGCTGCCTAGTGTTTTCATAAAGAGATCGCTGCAGTAGTAATAGTTAATATGGCATAGTGACAACACACTGTAGTCCACCAACATGTCTTTCCGCGCTGGTGAAGTTATTATCTTGCTCAGCAGAACCAAACTTCATCATCATCATCATCATGTCCCTTAGTCCTTGGACCGTTGGGGTGCCACTGATGACATGAGACCTATCCTCCTCCATTCCTCTCTGTTTTCTGCACTTTGCACAGCATTGCCTAGTTTTAGTCCTGTCCACTCTTTGATGTTATCTTCCCATCTTTTTCTATGTCTTCCTCTTCTTCTCCCTCCTCTCATTGTGCCCTGCATGATTTCTTTGGCAATCCCTTGTTTTCTTGTCACGTGACAATACCATACCAGTTTGCACTTTTTACAGTCACCAGGAGCTCATCAAACTGCCCAATTGCTTGACAAATCCTTTCTTTCACTTGTTCATTGGAGATATGGTCTCTATAGCAGATGCCAAGAATGCTTCTGAAACATCTCATCTCCATCGCCTTTATTTTTCTTTCAATTTCAAGTTGTCCTGTTAATTTCCAGGACACACAGGCATACCGGTACAAGAAAATGGAGAGGACTAATGAGCGCATCAGCCTGATTTTGGGGCTGGGGGCTAAATTTTTGTTGTTCCATATTTTCTTAAGCCTCTTTAGTGCTGTTGTGATCTGGGCAATCCTGGACATCAATGCGGGCTTGGAGCCTCCTTCCAAGACTGTTGCTCCTAGGTACTTTAAGCTGCCTACTGTCTCTAATCTTTCCTCCCGACCTTAATTTCAGAGGCGATGCTGGTGGTGTTATTCGTCATCAATTCTGTTTGTTCTGCACTGATTTGCATACCAAAGGACGATGAAGTTTTTTCAAGACGCTTTACTAGGTTGGCTAGCTCTTCTCCCACCCTCAAAAATGGGGGGAAAAAATTTTCCTTCGCCTATCCAAAAGGTGCCTGATTTTTTCCGATAACATAATATTGTCTAATAACTACCGCAAGTTGTTAAAAAAAGGGGGGGGAGTAAGAGTAGTGATACCAAACTGATGTATTAAAATATTTGCGGGGATAAAGCTGCTTTGCGAGTTCTAAAAATATCTTTTAAATGCTGCTGACTAGATCTTATAAAATATCCAGTGCAGAACAGTTGGATACCGGGGTAATGTATTTTATTTCAAAAACCATCTCTAGCTTTCTCTGTTTTCACAATCGCTGCGGTTCAGACGAAAACAAAATAATTATGTAATAAAACTATGTTGTTATGGCGACTAGTCTAAATATTCACAAAGCAGCAATTTGACAGTCATCCCCCTCAATATCAACCTTGCAGTGATATTTTTATATCCTTTGACACTCCCACCAATCCCCTACCTATGTGTCTGGCATGCCACAAATCTTCTTTATCAACACACCCCCCCCCCCATCAATGTGGACATTATATAATGAAGGATGGTCCAAACTTTAAAAAAAAATTTCAACCAATCGATTTTCTCGATCCATTCACTACCAGATTTTTAATACAGAGGGCTATAACTTCCACACACAACCGGAAAATTTATTTAATTTTTTTTTAATCTGAAAGAAATACCAGAATATTTTTACACAAGGTCTCTGAAAATCGTAATTTTGGCGGATCTCAGGGTACAATCGTAAAAGACTTCTAAAAATCGAACAATATACGCCAAAATCGTAGTTTAGTAAACAGGTCTGTTATTACCATAAGAATAGTTTTACTGCATACAAAGTGTGCCTATTTTTAAAAAAATATTGTAACTTTAGTTTAATGAAACTGTACAATAACGAGATTAAGCTTAAAGATGATAACATAAGTTTAGGCCAGTGGCATGCGGCTCTTTAGCGACCTGAGTGCAGCTTGGCCAGTCAGCCACAAAACGGTTTTGACTCTGAAAAACATGGTTCTTGATAGATTCTTGAAAAGAAATTTGGCTCTCAAAAATTTTTTAATGTTCCTGGTGCTGATTTTTGGCTCTTTTGACTAATGAATTTGCCAACCACTGGCTTAGGCCAATCTTTGTTTAGGAAAATGGTTACGTGGCCTCCCCCCCCTCCACTCCTGTTATTGACTTTCTGTTGGGAAATAGGTCTACGAGTATTATTTACACAAGTGAGCCTTCGTTAACTTATAATGGCATCAATATTTGTGTGTACAATTAAACAATTTCATTGGACGGGTATAATGTGCATCTATATATATCCACAAATTAATTTAATGTCTAGGAATACATAAAAATATATACAAAGAAAGAAAAAGAAGCGTATTATGTCTTGAAAATCCAAGTGGAGTGAATTTATGAGACAAGACACACTACCATAAATTTTGGCTGATTCTTAGTTTTCAACACGTGACATCATTTGCGTGTTTTTTATAGTTGCAGTGAATTAGGGTTCAGGTTAGGCATAGGGATCGATTTAGGGTTCAGGTTAGGCATAGGGAGCGATTTAGGGTTCAGGTTAGGCATAGGGATCGATTTAGGGTTCAGTTTTGGCATAGGGATCGATTTAGGGTTCAGGTTAGGCATAGGGATCGATTTAGGGATACATTAGTGACAAAATTAACTGGTTGTTCAACCAAGATGGCGGCCATCGCAGGACGTTTTCTAATAATTTTCCAAATAAAATAATGACTACCAATGCTTATTCAATTGAAAATAATGACTACCAATGCTTATTCAATCAATCACCAATTGGTAGTTTTTTTTATAGTAAACTAATAGCCGCCTAGAAGCTATTGGTAGTTTCGGACAACATAGCTATTCGGAACTGGGTCCCTTTACTTTGCCTTTAAACTAAACTCAATGAAGTCACTGCCGTTTGGGATGTCATTTGTGGTAGTTTATTTTAGTTAAACTGAAGAAATAAATTTACAGACATAAAGCCCATTCAATTATCAGTAATCTACCACTTGAGCGTCGCCAAGAAAAAATCGAGTTGTTCCGGTTGGAAGGGCTATTTAAACAACTATTCTTACATTGGAGTCTGTTAATATTTTTGCTTCCATATAGAGGCTATAAAGTTATATAGCACAAGACTACATTTAAATAATTATTACTGCCAAGCTACTGATATGCCAGGAAGAAAAAGAGACTACAATTATGTTTTTTGATCCAGATGACGCGGATGTCCACACACAGAATGTGGAAAACATGATGCTCAGAAAGCGTAAACTGAAAAGACAGTTTGGCACAAGAAGCGCCGGTGATCTTTCTCCTTCATATTTACGTGAATTCATGTCATGTACCTCAACCGTTTTCGTGGAAATTATATTTTTTAAAACTTCATTATCAACTTGGGGGAGAACTATGCATAATTCCTTTTTCACACATTATCTTCTATTTCAAAAATATTGTTATAGTTTTTCTATTTAAAAAAATTGTCTATTATTATGGGAATGAATAGTACAACCAATCTCATTAAAAATAATATAAGAATAGTTGTTTAAATAGCCCTTCCAACAGAAACAGCTGGATTTTTTCTTGGCCAACGCTCAAGTCAAGTGGTAGATTACCCAATTATCTTTCATTTGATGCCAAAAGTTTGTCTTAAAACTCAACAATAATATTTTTTTTATTTTTTTTAATCCCAACCTCTTAGTCACTTCTATAACTATAATCTGGGGCAAGGGTCCGAATCCGAATGGCCACAATATAATATTTTCAATATAATTATAAGTATAAGAATGAACAGCCAAACAAAGCCTAATGACAAATGATAAAAAGGGATAACCTGTGCAAAAGTTTAAATGATTAATTTTATAAGAATGAATAAAAATTCGATTTACATCATTGAAAGTCCAATAATAATCATCAACAGTAGTTTTTGAAGACGCATTGCATAAAACTTCATGAATTCAATCGTAGCCATGTTTACTATCAAATCGATCGCAGTATTAAAGATAAACCCATTTACCGAAACTGTGAATATTGTGCGTCTTTACGAAATGGGACTATTTCAACCCCGTAAAATAATGGGCCAATAATTGAAAGTTCACATTTTATATTTTGTTAACAGGCTAATATTCTTAAATAATTCAATAATTTTCTACCCCACATATTTTTTAATGAAAAATGAAAGGAAAGTTAATATTATTTTTTTTTAAAATAAACTACAAAGACGCTTTTGCGTTTAGTATAGTCTGAGGGGTCTATTTTCATTTTTACTGTTATTTTTTTTTCGCTGAAGAAACTTTTCCCAACTATTTTTATGTTGTTGTTTTTTTTGTTTGTTTTTTTTTTTGTCTTTTTTTTCAGATTTCCCTCTACCCTGTGCCCGTGTTTCTTATTTCCTTTTTATTTTTATTATAGACTTCCTCTCTATTTTCATTTCCATTTCTATCAAAGACGAATTAAAATGCAACAAAAAGTATTTTAAAAATTTGTTACAATGCATTACGCAAAGAAATTCTGTACTGTACAGAAAAAAAAATTAAAATTATTTTTTTAAATAGATTTTTAACTTTCGTCTGCATTTGATTAGAATCCTTTGACTACATAGAGCGCTCATCAACACATCCGGGATTTTGTAAACAGTCGATGCTTAAATTAAACAACACCTAAAAACATTTTTTTCCCATACAAATCCTTTACAGAATTGTATATCTAACAATGTGGGGAGGAGCTATAAATATGATGAAACCTGCATACAAGTAACGCACTTTATAAGAATCACAATTAGTGCCACCCCCTTTTTTTCCGGTTCGCAATGGCACATTTGTTTCATGCCCCTGAACTATATTAATAATTCCCGACCGCTTTTACACAACAGATTAATTTCAACAACAATTTTAGAAACACAAAAGAAAACTAGTTATAAACATTGGCGGTAGCAGTGCGTGAACTTCCCATCTACTAAAGTTACTTGACAAAAACGTGAACTCAAGTTACGCACATTTCAGAATGCCAATTTTGCTACACCCCCCCCCCCCCAACCCTTTCATGATACGTCACGATACACTTTTTATTTCCCGCCAACCCGCGGCTAAAGTTACTTGACAAAACCGTGAACCCAAGTTCCGCCCATTTCAGAATGCCAATTTTGCTCCCCCCCCCCCCCCCCAACCCTTTCATGATACGTCACGATACACTTTTTATTTCCCGCCAACCCGCGGCTTAGCAGACGCCGCGAGCTGGCTGGCAAGGGAAGGGAGGGTTTGCCTGCGTCTTGCTTGCTCTGGCGTATCTATATATATCCTGCGTGGTCTTGGTCTTGTTGTTTGGCCTACTTCTGGCGAATTATATATATAGATATTTTGCATAAAACGTAATTAATAATATTTTTTAAAAGAATCTCATTTAGCGCAGTTATTTCAGTTTATCTTACCCTTTAAAAAATAAGAAAAAATGATTTTGGGGGAGTTGGGGATGGGGGGTGATGTTGAAAATTTGATCGAATGTATTGTCATCGGCAATGAGTCTATGTGCCGATTTTCAGATCTATAGGTTGACGAGAAGTGAGGCAATTAGCCGTTCGAAGATTTTGCAAGCCCGCTATTCAGCCACCGGCGAACAAAATCGAAGTTAATATAAAGAATTTAAAATGTAAACAATTCTACTTTTGTCGATAATTTAAATATAACAATTTTAATTCTAAAAATTATCATAATTTCTATCAAAGATGAGTTAAAACGCACTAAAAAGTAGAAAATAATTTAGAATACGACTAGCAAAAAAATTATGTGCAGAAATAATTTTCTAAAATTATTTGAATTAAAACAATAACATTGATTAACATAACGTTTTGTCTAAATTCTGACATTCATTTTCATGTTTCAACTCGAATCCTTTGGTTATGACTTCATAGAGTGCTCATGTACACTTCAGCACCATCTTTCTTTGCGTAATTTTATTACATTTTCAATTATTTTCTAATTTTTAGTGCGTTTTAACTCGTTAAGTCATTTTTTTAAATTAAAAGTATATGAAATTTAATCATTTGCGAAATCAACTCCTCCGGTGACGGGCGAATAGCTGATGCTTTTTTTTTACTTTTTGTGACTCAAGAGGTGATATTGTTTGAGTTTTATTTTGGGCTAGAGCTAAGTTGCTTATTTTAACCTGTTACAGTCTACACCTTAAATAGCATAAGCAATGGAAATAAACATATTTCCAAAGAGCAGAGACAAGCTATAAATCTATGCAAACAATTCACTATAATAGAAAATTTCATTTTGCCACCTAAGTATACAAATATACGCAACTATTGAATATTCATGATCATGTAAATATTCAGTATTATTCAAAACTCAGGCAGGCCTAGGCCAAATTGAATATTATTAATTATATTTTAATATTGACCATTGATAACTTAATCAATGGGTCTTTGATAATCTACCACTTCAGCATCGGTTATTCAAATATAGTGTTGTTCCAGTTTGATGCGCTATTTAAATGTTCATTTTTTATTGATGTCCCTTAAATTAATAGGACAAGTCACAATGAGAATGGAGAGAGGTCCATTTCAGTCTTGGTTTTCAGTGGCATATATTATAAACAGAGTGGTGATTTTCTTGTTTAAGTGCCTGTTGGAGGACGAGTGTTCAGTTTAATTTCTTTGCAGGAGTGCATAGAAAGACATATATCCTTCCAGGCTCACTTAATGTATTGGACAGATGGGTGGCATATTCATATACTTATGCATGTGTCAACACACAGAATGATGAAATTTATGTGGATAAGTGCAAACTAAAAAGACAGTTCAGCACAAAGTGTGATCATTTCCCTTTGCATGAGTATGAGTTCATGATTCGCAATCATTTCATGGAATTGATATTTTCAAGAATTTCCTTGTTACTGTTACTGTTACCTTGGCCTTGGGGTAGAACCATGCATAAAATCAAATTCTGTCGTCTGCTTCTTTTTGTATACTAAATTGTTTACATTTTTCTATTTTTAAAATTTTGTCTGTTGAAGTCTGTTTGATTATTTATGTATGTGCTGAAATTAATATTTATAATGTCATACAAAACATTTCCATTAATTTCTATTTGGATCAATGATAGAATTTAATCTGTAATAATAAAAGAATAGCTTTTAAAATAACATTTCAAACCAGAACAACATGATTTTTTAATAACTGACGCTGAAGTGATAGATAACCACTGTCTTCATTTATATTTCAATTTCATTCTAAATTTGAATTATATGACTATAGAGTGTAGTTTTTACAGAACAGTGTAATGTTGTAAGCCTAGCCTATATAATACTATATTATATATTAAGTTTATTAATATTAACCAATTAAATTTAATGTTATAATCATGATAATGATAATCCAATTGTTATAGCATCGTAAATATTGGGTCATAACTATTATGAATTATAGGCCTATGCTTTATGTTGGCCTTGACTAGATGGCATTAGCATGTGCATATATTCCTATTAAATTGCCTATGTCTATACGTAAAATATAGTTCAAGTGAATTTAATTATTCTTTTTTTAATTTGAAACCCAAAAAAGTGAATTTATTTATTATAAGGCATAATTAAAAATAACTAAGATTACATGCTATCTTGACCATTCTTTACCCCCCACACAAAAAAAAAATCTACAAAAGCCATCAAAGAAACTGTAATATTATACCACATCCTCACACATTCATTATACTTTTGAAATGTAAAATTAATATATATTCCCTTACTGTTGGCATTGAAACATTACATATATTAATTAATTAAATAATCAGATTATCAGAATATAACCCGTGGTTACGATAGTTATGTTCCACATATTTTTGAGCTTGGTATCTTAAAAATTGCAAGTTCATAATTAAATTCTCTAAAGCGATAGTAGACATTTTGGTTAGTAATTAAATTTGCTAAAACTATATTTTACCCTCTTTACAAACATTTTCATATTATATCCTTTTTTGCTTTTTATTAGGAATAAAAATAACATCGGCCTAGCCTTATAGGTCACAAATATAAGAATAAGCCTACACATTCATTTGGCCCAAGGGCCATTTTGGGCATTTCATTCAATAGTCCAACTCCTAGGTCTTAAGAATTTCATTTATACAATTTCAGACCTGTTTAAGTCTTAAGATTTTGGAGTACATTTTAAGTTGTAGGCCTATACATATATATACTGTATTTTTATTATTTTACTATTAAGATAATGTTTCGAATGATTTTGTGATGATATTGTACGATTTTAAGAGTTTGAGGGTAAACAGGTCTGCAATTTAGTTTTAGGCCTACTATTCATAAAAACTGAAAGAAGGCCTTATCAGTAAATTAATTTGCTTATACTTAACCATTATAGGCCTACCCTATTTTATCTCCCACATACAATTTTATGACTGTATTGAATCAAATTAGTGTTCACCCAAGAAGATAATGAAACAGATATTTTTTAAGCCTACTAAACTGGTATAGTTTATTTGCATATGCTTTGTCAATTTCAGTCCATTAAAAAAACAATTTTTTAAACTTCCAATCAAGTTTTAAGCTATTCTTTTTAAAGATAAGATTGCATATCAACACCATTCATGCCATAGTGAGCATTTCTGAAAGATTACTATTTGAGATTATTTAGCAGTAACACTTGTTTTCATCCTCAGACAGTGATATTGTTTTGCTATAGAGATGTTTGAAATATGGTACTCTTTTTAAAAGGAATAGACTTTGCTTTAGAAAAAATATATATTTGAATGCTCATAACCATTACTTTTACCATTGACATTATTTCCTTTATAAATAACCTATAAGATTTTTTTTTTAGAACATTTTCAATTTAAGTCACTTTTAATTCTCTTTTTTTTTTTTAAATAAAGCATGGACTTTAAAGTAGAGCATGCAGAAGAAAATGAAAACAAAAATTTTGCTGAATGGAAGGAAGAACCCCATAATTCATGCTGGGGTGCATCAGCTATCAATTATTTTGTAGATCCATCTACTGAACAGGTATTTTCATTATGTTGTCTAATTCTCTTTGTTAGATTTTAGCTTATTTATTCTATGCTATTATTTTGTAAAGAAGCATTTGAATTGTTGATTTTATGCTTTTAATTCAGTAAATAATTAGGTGTACATTTAAATTTGTATGTCACTGATTTTTATTTATAATTTATTATTTTTTGTTAATATTTTAAAATATGCATTCTTGCATCTAAATTTTGTCTTGTTCTATTTAAGATTGCAGAATTAGAAGGCTATTCATTAAAGATCGAAACATCTGGTGTAGCTCACAGGCCCAAAGCACGCCTTGACTCTGGCACTGGTGGTGGAGCTAACAGTGATGAAATTTTGGCCAAATTGTCTCGAATCAATGGTGCTATTAATAAAATGACTAAAGAACAGATGCAATCTAAGCTTGCTGAGTATAGACTGAATACAAGGTTAATAAAGTTCATTTACCTCATTAAAATTAAAAGCTTACCTAGCTTAAAAATTGTGATAATAGGGTACCCTGGTATCAGAACCAATTTTGACTCAATCAAATCACTGACAATAGCAATAACATGTATCCTAAAATTATATTAGTGATATTGATTTCTTTTCCCAATTATTATCAAGCATTGTAAAAGCACATACATTTCAGTATAATTTTTACAATTATTGCAGGTTTCATTAATATGGGAGTCACTGCTGAAATATAAATTCTTCAAACAACTATTAAATATATCTTTTTCTATTTTTATAAAGTGTTTATCATTAGGCCTACTCTTTAGCTCAAAGGAGCAAAATATTTCTTGTACAGTATTGGAATTTTCTTTTTACGTGTTAAATATTGTTGAGTGTAAAAAGTAACTGTTTATTTATTTGTTACAAAGTGGTGTGAAAGATGTGCTAAAGAAAAGGTTGAAAAATTACTACAAACGTCAGAAAATGGCTCAGTGCAACAGAGCTCTTACTGACGATGAGAAAATGAAATATGACTACCTTGTGGTGATTGATTTTGAAGCAACTTGCAGTGAAACCAATGAAAACTTCATTCATGAAATCATTGAATTCCCAGCTGTACTCGTTGATGCACAGAATCAAGCTGTGGTGAGTTCACTAGATTTTAAAAAAATGATGATTTCAATTTTTTTTTTGCTAATCAACCCACTTCTAACTACAGAACATAAGACTCTGATTTTCTTACACTCACTTTAAGATTATCAAAATAAAGTAATAGCCTAGCGTGCCACTCTTCCTGCTGCTGGGTTGTGCACATTCACAACACTGATCAGTCCAACTACATAACTGCTTAAATGTACAGCTACCTGTGAGAATGTAGCACTTCATAACTGAATGATATAATAATTTTTTCTTGTCGGCATGACCTAAACTTGCAAGAAGTTTACTAATAATAGCATTCATATAAATGAAATTATCAAAAAGGCTAATGAAGAAGCTATTGCAGTTCAATGCAGAAAGGGAAAAATTGAAAAAAACAGAAAATGTTAATATTAAATAAGAATGATTTTTTTTTAAATACAATTTTTTTTAAATCAACATCTAAAATAGTGGTAGTACTTCAGTAGTTTTTGCTGACAGTGATGATGGTGATGGCAGTGAACTTGTGAAAAAATTCCAATTTTCTGACATTTTAATTTTAAGCTTATTATATAAGTTATGTTCTAGTTTAATTTTCATTTATTTTTATTCATAATAAAAACAAAATGATAACATGTCATTTCTAGAAATTAATGCATTTTTAATTAAACAAAAAAAGAACATTTCATATCTAACACTGTAGTGCATTTTTTAATTTAAAAAAATGATAACATTTCATTTCTAACACTAAACTGCATTTTTAATTTAAGAAACTAAAAGAGTTGAATCAATTTGCTTAGTAGATGGGAGGATTTAGATCAAAATGAGCTTAGTTGGGATTAGATTTAAACCCTTTTTTTCACTATTCATGAAATGATTTAAAAAAGACTAGAAACTGTAAAAAAAAGTATCAGTACATTTTTTAACTGTAAATATCAAAGCCATGTTAAAAAAATTAAAAATCTAGACAGCATTTTGATGCAAAGACTAAAACCATTTTTTTTTTAGTTCAGTTACTTGAAATGTATCATTTTTAAGTTAATTTATTGTGGTTACTCAATCATTTAAGTTTATAAAAGATTTGTTAAAAACTTTCATGTGATCATACAAGATCATATGATTGAGGTTTTTAAAGTTCCTTGTAATTTTCTTACCAGAATATTTTTTTTTATTGTTGAAATCTGTTGTTTTTTTCCTTCCACCAGTGCAATGTTTTTCAAAGATTTTGCAAGCCACGGGTAAATCCTACTCTCACTGATTTTTGCACATCACTTACCGGCATATCTCAGGTGAGCATTCATTAAAAGTAACCCTGCAAATCAAGGATCATGAGACACGTGGTAAACAATAAATAAGTTCTGAATCTGTTCAAGGTCTTATCAATGAAATAACTAAATATGAATTACAATCACATAGAGCATTTCTGTTACAGCAACAAGTCGACAAAGCAAAGGACTTTACAGAAGTTTTTAAGGAGTTTGAAGAATGGATGGCTATACATAAACTTGGTACAGATTATCAGTTTGCTATTCTTACAGATGGGTAAGTTTTACAAATCTCTACATTCATTTAACTGCCAGTAACAGCAATTTAAGAGTTTTGGACACCTTTGCAAAGTGGCCTGCATTTTATGACTCCTCTACAATAACCCCGTAATAGTTCTACATCACGGATGTCTTGGCATGTTGTTAATGAATTTAAATCTAGTCATTTTTTAAAGATGATCCTACTTATCTTAAAGTTGATTTGTTTGAGAAAAGTGTTGGAATTGATTTTAGCCAAAAAGAAATAAAGTTATCATCAATCTTATTGCAGAGATATATCTCCTCTATATATAGATATTGTTAAATACAAAATTTTGTTTACATTTTAAGATTTATTTTTTGTACCACTATGCCAAAACCAAGAATCCCAAAAGAAATTCTACCACCATTAATTCCTTTAGATTTAGCAGCTGTATTTATTTTAGCCATTAATAAAAATTTCAATTTGAAGAGCCAAAAAAGATCTTGTCTGGTTCTTCCATTGAAGACTGTTTTTGATTTAGTGTATATTTAGTCAGAACTTCCTTATTATATCAGTATGGCTGCCAAACCTTCTTCATATTTTACACTTCAGAGTATAGACTAATAGATTTTGTTCTTAACATATTTTAAAATTATTTTTTTTGGAATGTGATTATGGTGTCAAAGGCAATAGATTTTAAATAAGCAACATCTTTTTTAAGTTAAGTGAAAATTTTTCCCTCTCATTTAGACCTTGGGACATGGCAAGGTTTTTAAGGACTCAAACAGAGTTAAGTGGAATTGCATTTCCTAAATGGGCTAAACAGTGGATCAACTTGCGCAAAGCATACACAGCTTTCTATGGGTGTGGCCGTATCAATCTTCATCAGATGTTGGAGGATCTTGGAATGAAATTTCAGGGCAGACCTCATTGTGGCCTGGATGATGCTCGTAACATTGCCGCCATAGCAATTCGACTACTGCAAGATGGTTGTATTATGAGAATTAATGAGCATTTCCGGGAAGGACAAATCAGCCCTCAAAAGTCAACTGGGTCCTCAAGGGCCAGCCATTCGAGAGGTCATAAATCACCACCTAAGTCACATACAAATAAAAAATACATTCAAAGGGATAGTGTCCAAAAGTGTAAGGAACCATTTGAGGTTGAGCAGGAAGGTGAAAATATGCATGAACTTTTTGAGTATTTAAAACTTCAGAGGTCATAGGTATGGAATTTTGTCTGTCTTTATTAAGTATTAAAAATGTAAGATGTCTGTTCTGAAATTTGTTAAAATAATTATTTTATTTTTTCCATACATGCACTCTACTCCAGATCTTAAGGTGGGCAACAGCAAAAATAATTATAGGAAATTATTTATTTATACTTTATTATTCATAATGAGTTTCTTTTGAAATGTGTTAATTTTCTTGTCCTTTTGATCCCTCCAAAGACAAATATGTATAGACTATTTATTATTATTTTTAAGGGAAAAATTTTACCTCTTAAAAAAAAAACATTAATTCATTAGCTGAGAGACAAACATAGGAGTAGATAATGCTAAAGAAAAATGATAATAAATTGGCATTGGGTAACTCAATCAAACAAAATTTTTCATTTAATTTTAACTTAAGTATGCTGGGAGAAATTTATTCTGCATTTATTTTGTCTTTATATAACAATTATAAGTTTGTATAGAGTGCATATAACTTTTTTCAATATATATAATTATTTTATACATAACTTTTCCAATGTCTAATCAATAACTTTTTCTCTGTAAAGATCAGAATGATCAAGATGAAATCATAATTTGAAGTCAGGAGAAATTTGTGTTTTCCAAATTTAAGATTAGGGGGGAAATGTATTTACATTTTAGAGGGAATAAAGGATGGGAGAACAATAAAACTTTTTAGGTGCTTAGGTGGAGCATGGGGGAAAAAGGTTGGGAAACATGTGTGTATGTTTTCATTGGCAAATATTCTTTATAATGAAAAAAATATTACATAAAACATTTTAATTTAAGAATTGTAATGACAAAGAGAAATTAGATCAATGGCATTGTTTAGTTATATTCTGCTAACTTATTTCAAAGGGATTGAGACTGGTGAGTGTTAACCATTTGTCATCTGAAAAATCTTGTATTCAATTTACTTTTGAGTTGATAAATGATTTTTTTGTAATACTTGATTAAAGTGAAGTATTGACTTTTTAAAAGTATTTTATTTCTGAAGTTTTACTATAAATCCTTGCTGTTTGTAACAAGCAATGTCCCGAAGAAGCTGTTTGTAACAAGCAATGTCCCCAAGAAGCTGTTTGTAACAAGCAATGTCCCCAAGAAGCTGTTTGTAACAAGCAATGTCCCCAAGAAGCTGTTTGTAACAAGCAATGTCCCCAAGAAGCTGTTTGTAACAAGCAATGTCCCGAAGAAGCTGTTTGTAACAAGCAATGTCCCCAAGAAGCTGTTTGCAACAAGCAATGTCCCCAAGAAGCTGTTTATGGTAGTTTTACCAATATTATTGAACCTGATATTTTAAAATTCACATCAACTTTACATACCAGATTTAAAAGTCATGTGATGCTTAGCAATCTTTTTTGCTATTGTATTTCACTGTGATAATTTCACCCACTGTGGACATAAATGTGTTGTACTGTTGTATGTTAATTTAGTGATGATGATGTTTCTGCATCAGATACATGTACAGGTTTTCAGAGCTCAATTTTGAAAACTATAAAAGTCGTTTCCTACAAAAGAAGTTGAGAACAAAATTTTTTTTTAAAAATAGTTTTATTTAGCTGCTACTTGGCATAAATGTTTTTGTTCTGCAAATGAAATAAATTTCTTGATTTATGGCCAAGTCGAATGCTGTTAAGGCCAAGTGGAGTGCTGTTATAGCCAAGTGGAATGCTGTTATGGCCAAGTGGAATGCTGTTATGGCCAAGTGGAATGCTGTTATGGCCAAGTGGAATGCTGAAAAAAATTTCATTTGTCCTGCACATTGTTCTGGATTGTTGTTTTTGACTAATGTGTAGAAAATTTAATCAAGTCATGCAGACCAAATATTTTACTACATCTCTTTGAAGAAATAGCCAAGACCTCCTAAATTTTGTTAATAATGTGTTTTTAAAATCCACTATTGAATAGTAGTTATCCTTAATGGGTAATTTTGACATACATTTGTTTCTTTATGAAATCTGAGAGTCTGATAAGCTTCATTTGTGAAATGAAATAAAGGAATCTTTAAAGAGAACATTCCAGTCTTTAAGCTATCTAAATTTAACTGATGTTTCGTTTCTTTAAGAAGCCATGTAAACCATAATTGATACTGAAAAGTACATTAAAATCAGAACATGTTTCAAAAAAAAAAAAATAAATGTTCATTGTTAACTGAAATATATATATATTGTATATATTGTAAATGCTTCAAATATATCCTTCATTATTCAACACCATCTGCTATTAAAAATAGTTTTATCTCTTTACGATTTTTAAGGGTTTTCTTTTCTTCCATACTTTCATGAGTTATAATTTTGCTCTGTTGCTGATGAGAGTTTTGTGGCATTAAACTAAAGTTTGGCTGGTTTTGCTCTATGCTGCTAATGAGAGTTTTGTGGCACTAAACTAAAGTGTGGCTGGTTTTGCTCTATGTTGCTGATGAGAGTTTTGTGTTATTAAACTAAAGTGTGGCTGGTTTTGCTCTATGCTGCTGATGAGAGTTTTGTGTTATTAAACTAAAGTTTGGCTGGTTAATTTGAAAGGACTCTTATTTCCGTTGAATTAGTTTTGTAGAAATGTGTGGCTGTAGCTTGTTAACTCCCCTACCTCCTTGAAGTTTGTGATCACTTTTATGTTTCAGCTGAGGGATATGTTACGAAGTTAAGTCCTTCCAGTTTCTTTTTGTTGCTGTTTCAATGTAGACTGAAAGTGCAGAAGAAATATTTGAAAAAGACTGTGTACTAAACTAAAACAAATACGTTATTTCTTATAATTACATAGATGTTTTTTGAAGCCAGCAGCGGTGTAATTTGCTTGTTTCTGTTTATTGTTAAAACTCCATTACTAATGTGAGAATAGTAATAATAAAATGTGATTGTGACAAATTAAGAGTTAGCACATCTTTGAATTTTCTGGTCATCATTTTAAGACTTTTGTTATGTCGATTCATAACATTCTATTTTGAAGAAATCTATGCAATCAAAAGAGATTTTTAAATTTAATCATAAATTTAAGAGAGGAAATTAAAGAAATTTTTTGTTTTAATAGTTGCATTGTACATTGAAAGTTAATATTTATATTTTAAATTTAGTTTATTTTTATTAATGATAAAATCTTATAATTTCCATAACAATGATTTTAAAAAATGGTAAACAAAATTTGTAAGAGTGGTGAGTGTTTATTTGTTTGCTATAGCTTTCTTCCCTCCTGGGTGATGTCAACTCTTTTCACTATTACAAATTATCACTCACAGATTAGAAGATAAATTAATATAAGGTTTATAACTTGACTTGTTTTTAAAGCTTATTTAAATCCATCCTGCCAAGAAGTGGCGTTAGCTTTCATAAATTGTACACTTATATAAATTTAAATACCTGTCCCAGTTTTCAGCCTTTCGAACCCTTGTCAGAAATTAGGGCTATGATATTTTGTCCAAGTTCAAGTGTGCTGTTGCTTTCTAAAGTGGGGTTTTTACAGATTTTTAAATAGGTCATCTAATGTTAACATTTCATGCAATCCTGTGGGTTATTATATATTATATATATTTTGTGTAAAATAATCTTAAAGTACAAGTATATGCTCCTTACATACTTTCACTGGGAAAAAAACTAATGTGTGTGTTTGACTTAAGTTTATTATTAAATGACCCATATGATATTATACATAACATTTCTGAACCTCCTTGATACATTTGCTGGTTTAGGGAAGGGAATATACCTCATTGACCCATTGAAAGGTTTGGTGGATTTGGGAGTGTGATATACACAACCCCATTGAAAGGTTTGGTGTTTTAGGGAAGGGAATATACCTCATTGACCCCATTGAAAGGTTTGGTAGATTTGGGAGTGTGATATACACAACCCCATTGAAAGGTTTGGTGTTTTAGGGAAGGGAATATACCTCATTGACACCATTGAAAGGTTTGCTGGTTTGGGGAAGGGAATATACCTCATTGACCCCATTGAAAGGTTTGGTAGATTTGGGAGTGTGATATACACAACCCCATTGAAAGGTTTGGTGGTTTAGGGAAGGGAATATACCTCATTGACACCATTGAAAGGTTTGCTGGTTTGGGGAAGGGAATATACCTCATTGAAAGGTTTGCTGGTTTAGGGAGTGTGATATACACAACCTCATTGAAAGGTTTGGTGGCGTGGGGTTATTTCCACCACCCCCACCCCCCAAACCTTATTTAATTGTTTTAGAAATAAAAGTGTGAGCAACTTGTCAAATTAAAAGCATTTTTTTCCCCATGTCGTCTAATTGATTCCTTTATTTGTCAGTGTTTCGTGTGCCTGGTCTTTGTCATTACGCATAGTTGTTGAATTGCTAATGGAAAGCAGCATTCAGGATATGAAGGGAAATTAACACAAACTCTCGTCACCTGATTCAGTTGCCTCACCTTTTAGAATATTTAGATCTTTTGAAATTTAAACCAAAAAAAGGCAACTATATCAATATTTAACCAGAGACAGGTAAACTTTCAAACTTGAATTCACACATTTAAATTCACATACTCATAGTCAAAATTCGTGATGTGAATTTTTTTTTTTTTTGAAATTGCCATGACTTTAATTAAATTATCTCTTTGCTAAGGTATCTAAGCTGGATCGCTCAAATTCAAGCGGAATCTCCCTACTCAATGTAGCTTACAAAATCCTCTGTAAACAAATAGCAAGAAAACTGGAAATATTATGGAAATCCAGAGTGAACATGTCCAAGGGGACTAGAAATGTAAATTCCGACAAATAGATCAACCACAGATCTTATCTCCTTTAGAGATTCTGCGAATGCAACATCAACATACGACTACATGTGGACTACAAAACAAAGCTCAGACAGGAAATATCTGTATGATGCTCTACAGAAGTGTTTCTCAAACTGGGGGGACCGTGAAGCAGTGCCGTCTTAAGGCATGGGCCCTTGCCCAGGGCCCCGCACTTGTAGGGGGCCCCCATATTTTTAATGAATATTGAACGATTTTGACAATTTTAATTGGTTTTAAAATTCTCAATTTTAACCCACGATAAATATATCAGCACCTTCCAAAATTAATATTATAAATGCGAATCAAAGTTGGATCATTTTTAAACTTTTAAGGGGAATNCCCCCCCCCCCCCCCCCCCCCCCCGATATGAATCTGAAAAAAACAAAAATTTAAGGAAATGATTTCCGTTTACAATCCTGTTAGACAAAGATAATGGCCCCGGGCGGTAATAACGCTCGCTGCGCCACTGCTCGGTAGTAGAGAAAAGTCTATTCTAAAACTAGTTAAAGTACGACTGAAGTTAATTAGCATTATATAATGGAATTTGTAGGTGACCAATGAATTGTTGTTTTAAAAAGTAAATTTATAACTAATATAACAAACAAATACTTTATATTTTCTAAACTGAAAAATGCATTGTTTTCTGTCTCTGGAAAACATATTTAGATGATAAATAGAACCAAACAGTCACGGTAGGTCTGGTCTGAAGGGAGAAATATAAAATAGGTATTTAGGTATAATAATAATTTGTAGTCACTGTTAAAATCTCAAGACGTGTTCATCTTACACAGCTCAAACACAGAGATCGATTTGATTAATTACACCATAACAATCATTCCCCAACGTTCGTTTTCATAGTGGGCCACTTGTGAACTTGAAGGGGCAGACACATACTTAATTAAAAATAATTGTGTTTATTTTATTTTTTAAATTTATCTTTTTAACAGATCGCCGCTATCACAATAAAAATATTTCGAATAAATGTATGTGCTTCTAGGTGTATCAACCTTGACGCGGAAATGGTGCGTGTCAGTCTTGGTTAAATCCAAGCCGGTGCCGTCTTAAGTCCCTTGTTTATGGGAAGCACATGGGATTTTATCGTTTAATTCACTATTAAGGGCCTAACTTAAGATGATTTTGCCTCCCCCTGATATTGGCGACTGGGGTGATCGATCCTCTCACCTCCTCCTTAGCACGGCCCTGAGTATATAGAGGCTTAGGGGCCCCGCAGTCCATTACTGTGCCCAGGGCCTCCGCTGCTGATAAGACGGCCCTGCCGCGAAGGGGTCCCTTAGAAACTAATTTTGGGATATGTGTGATTGCTATGTCTCTTGGAGGAATTCAATTCAGTTCCCTTGACACGTGTTACATTCACAAAGTTTTGAGAACCGCTAGTATGATGTAGCGGTATAGGCGCACTTCTTTCTCAGAGTCCAGCAGAGGGTGCGACGAATGTTAAGGCCCACGTGTGTTCCGAGAAATCGTTCGCATTATTGTGAGGCATCAACAAGCTGAGGAGTCATTTCAGTTAGTATCTATCTGTCAGGTCCCCAACAGTCGGCCTGCCAGTTCTTGGAAACTAAGAGCTAAACTTAGAGCTAACCAGGGGATGACACATTGGGGTGGACAGAGGATACGCACGTCTCCAAATTCTCTTCGTGCTAACGTAATTGTTCACAGTCCTCTGCAAGAGAAAGATTGTATAGTATAAAAACGTTTTTCATACCTCTCATACCCAGTGGCGTAGCTAGCGTTGGTGTCACCCGGTGCGGTAAACTCACGGTGTCACCCTCCCTCCCCCCCCCCCCCCTGTATTTAAAATTTTCCTTTCCTTGTCTTCAAAGCTGCAAACCTGTCAATCATTTGATCAAAATCAATTTCCTTCAATGTATCACTTTAAATAGATAGCAGAGCCATATCAGAAAGCCTTGACGGTCCCATGATGGATCATAAATATTTCTTGATGAACCTTAGTTTTGAAAAACTCCACTCACATGAAGCCAAAGACTCACTTAACGTAAGAAACAAATTAAAAACTTTGCGAGAGTATTGGAAGAGATTCTAGGAAGTCCCAATCAGCTATGAATTTCAAAACATTAATTACTGACATGTCAACGACTTTATGAAAATTCAATATCAGCTGTCTTTAGATGTCTTTTAAGCCATGGTATTTCTTTTGAAAGTTCATCTTCTGATAACTCATCATAGAAAGAAGTTACTTTTGGAACGTACACTAATAACCTCTTCTTCACTTGCTGATACTAGACTCTTGTGTTGAACAGCCCCAAACATATCTGCTACTTCCATGATCGCTGATGATCTGATCTGTAGTTCCGAATGAAAGCGATCAATACACTCCAGAATCTCCATAATGTTTTCATCTCGAAGAAAGAGTCCAGCATCTATTAATTTTTCTTCTGCCTTTCTCTTCTTAAACCTTAATTTTCTTACTACCGAAATTCCATAGTGGTCTGATTTTAAACATTTCTTTTCAATTGCATGTTTCATCAAGGACCTCAAGCTGATGAGCCCAAAGGTAAAAGGTAGCAGATAAACGTAAAATCACAAACATAATAATTAAAGAATTGCATTTCAAATCAAAGACAGCATGCAAAAGACTTTGTTCTGTACCTCTTGTATCCAAATTTTCAAGAGGATTACAAAAAGTTTCACTTCTCTCACTTCAACTTTGTGGATTTGAGCATATCTTATCACTTCATACACCTAGTCACTGTGTGATACATCAGGTGTACATTCGAACATAATTCCAAAATACCTCGCAGTCTTTATGTCCATGATAAGAATCTCCTTCATATGATTTTCAAGGACATTTATAAATTCATTTTAGGTTTATGGTGAAAGGTAAGATGCGGATGCTTTTTCATGTAGATGTACTCGTCTTTAGTCTCATTTGGTGTTCTTTTAGCACTGGATCATATTTAGGTAGCATATCAACCATTTCAATTAAGTTTTAGTGAAGATTCGTCTCCGCCACAAAATGCCAGAATTTGCTTTGCAAGAAACAATGTGATATACAGCAACCTATGAAGGATATCCCTCCACATTTTCTTTTCCCTGTCCATCACAGCAATACTTTCGGTATCAATTGTTTTGTGTATCCTAAGTCCTGCTGCTAATGCTTTCCACTTTTCAAGGCAACATAGGCGCTCTTCCGATGCTTCATGATTTTGTAATTTTGGGCTCAGTTTTCACCACTTATCAAATTCAGTAACAAATGTGTATGTTGTTTCTGTAACATTAACAGCAAACAATCTGAAGCACAA